TAGTCATTTTAACCATACAATATTCCAATTGCTTTATTTCTTTTATAATTAAGTTGTTTTTGTTTTTCTTAACAAGCCCTAATCCTAGCCAGTGAGCTTTGACAAGCTGTAACTTTTGATCCAACCGTCCACTTAGTGTGAAATTTTGCACCCAAATACCAGTATAAGCCTTCTATATGTTCAAAAAATTTCAGCCCAACCCAACTTACAGATTGCAAGAAAACGCCCAAAAACCGCATTGATGACACTCGGTCGCAACCTTGAAATTTGATGTAGAAACTCTAGAAGTGATTTCTCCTTTGTCAACCGTTAACTCTAGCTCAAAATTGAATAGCCGCTTGATCTCCAAATCTTCTATTACCAAGCCAAAAATTACATCGATCCAACTAGTAGATCTTCAGATATCACAGAAACCCTATCCAACCCTAGACTGCCAACTTCCGACAACCCTTTGTACTAAAACCCAGATATCTCTTGATTGCATCGTTAGATTAACACAAATTTTTGTATACACTTAGCACACCCAACTATCCAGACAATACCAAATTTTGATCTATAGATGCTACACGACTTGCACAAACCGATTGAGAATGCAAACCATCAATGTTTTATATAAAATCCGAAACACCAAAATAAACACTGACTTTGAGCAACGATTGCTCTCCCCTCACAAATCCTAATGAAACCAAACTAGTGACCTTGAAAAGAGCTTGAAGCTAGCTCTTCGATCCAAAAAACCCGATCTGAAAAAATCCCCTCATTTCTTAACCTTCCTCCCCTTTAACCCTAATTCTCTCCTCTTTCAAAGCCTAGCCTCTGAATTTCTTCAATCTTCCGTCTTGGATCCGAAATTGGCTCTCGCCGTCAGAGCTTTCTCCTTCATTTTTACCTTTAAGAGATCCTTTTACCAAAAATAACGTTTCCTGAAACGGCACAGAGAACATGACAGCCTGAAACAGAATCGAAACCCCGTAATCGGGACCACATTGAGTCGCCCAACCAATTCAGGTCTCATATCGGCTAAGAGTCCAGTAGTAAGACCCGGATGTTCGCGTAATTGGATCAAATTGGTCCTTCGCATCAGATTGGCTGAGGCTCGTAATAAGAGCTGGATTTTCTCGTAATAAGATTGCATTGGGTTGCCCGACCAATTCAGGTCTCATATTGGGTAAGAAGATCCGGATTGGATTCTTGAAATTGGATCCAATTGGCTCTTCGAACCAAGCTCACCCGTCGTATGAATTGGTCCTTTTCCTTCCTGCTGACTCCCGTTATTGGAATCGAACGGAGCATTTAAGTATGCCTTGGCTGACTGTAACGGGGTGACTGAACCTAGCCTCTCAGTATTTGCACTGGAATTGGTCATTGCTCCTAATATTCGAGGTAATTGAACATTAATAAAAGTCCTCTTTCTTTATATTTTTATAGTATAATCGTGTTACAACACGACAACGGTCTCTATTGTAGGTAAAGAGACTTGTTTTCTAACACATTGTCTTGTTTGACAACCATACTCTTCATTTTTTGATTGCATTGCTTCTTTGAATAATTTTGAGTAGTGTGTTTGGATTCTCCACAATATATGCACAAACCTTCTTGACAATGATGAGTCTTTTTTTGTTTAGTAAGAGGTGTAAAACATACCATATCAATTTGCATTACTTTCAATCTTGGTGAATAAGTTTTTGAAAATTTAGAAGCTATCATCATTACTTGACCTATTCTTCTCCAGCCAAATCTTTATTTTTTACGTTTTTCAAATAATCAATTATTGCATGCAATAGCTTGAGCAATAAATTATTCTAAAGATTTTGCTTTTGGCATTCTTAATAACAAATCTTTGATATTGTCCTTTAATTCATATCATAATTGATTGATAAGGACTTTGTCATTCCAATCCATATCACAAGTAAGATTTTGGAATTTAGTGACATATATAGTGGTTAATTATAATCTTTATTATAAAGATAAGAGCTTAGTCTTTGCTACTTTTTCTCAATCACTTTCTTCAAATGTGGCCGTAAATACTTCAAAGAATAAATTCAAATCATAAAAGAATTGTGAATCCTTTTCTATTAAAGATACAAACTAAAAAAGAGCACTTCTTGATAGAAATGTACCTATGAATCCAACTTGAGTAAATCCATCAAGATATTGGAAGAGACATAATCTTAGGTAGAGCTTGACTTGTTGCAAAAATCTTCAAAATTTTGATCTTATTCCATCAAACTTCTCAAGCATACTTATCTTTATTCCTATTGTACTAATAAAAACAAAACTTCTTAGATTTGATTATAAGGTCGATCTACTTGCTTCCTTCAAACACACAATTTCTTGACATAGATTTTAAACTTCTTCTATAAGCATAGGAATAATACTTCTATGATTCATATTGGAAATATGTGAGATTTATACTTTTAGAGTATTGACAAACTCATAAAGATTTACAATAGTTACAAATTTATTCTCACTTCTACTAAAAGTAGCATTCAAAATCTTTCTTTCAATTGAAAACTTTAAAAAAATCAAAAAAAATCAAAAAATTAAACTAAATGAGGATAATTTGCAACCTCTAATATCAAATAAAAATTTCTATAAAGAGGGATAATCCACTTTGTTTAAGAAAAAAATCGATGTTAAAAAATAGGATTGTTTGTTTAACGGTGGATAATCCATAACCTTCAAAACACAACAATAGAAGTGGCATAATTCACTTATTTCTAAAACAAGATAAAAACAATGATTTAGTACTCTTGTCAAACTTTCAAGGACATGAAGCACAAAGAAAGAAATCTTCAATATAATCTTGTGTCATTCAAAAGAACTAGAAAGTCACTCAAAGATAGTATAGTATTAAAGTAAAATTTCTATTGCCAAAGATAAGAAGATTAGAAAGACTTGAAACAAGATTAAGGATTAGAAAGGCATTGATAAGAGTGAAGAAGGCTTCACTCTTGCCTCCATATATATTCTTAATTAGGAAATAAGTTCTGGTGTCCTACAGGACCTCCAAAACATGTTGACTTTGCAAGACATGTATCTTAACTTGCAAGGTAAGTTTTTTATATGTATGCTACATTGTTAGCTTGTTCCGTAAGCTATCAACACGTGATTAATTTATTGATTAAGTTTCTAAGCTATCAATCAACAACAAACACATGTAAAGTCAAAATAGCATCTATGAAGCTTTTAGGAAGCTTCTCTAGAAAATATTATGAAATAAATCTACTTTTATTTACTCCAATTTAATCTTATAGATAAATATTAGAATAAATATCTATGTCTATGGTACCTTTCTATTACAATTTTTTTATTCTATTATATTTATATTTTTTAATTGATTATTACTAGCCATTGTTTAAATGTTTTCAGATAAGATTCTCTATTCAAAAAGCATGCAATAATTAACAAGAAGTTAATCTATAATTTAATAATATTTTTATCTATAGTAATATTTAACATCTTTAATTAAGAAAAAATTCTTATAGAGCTTTTTATTAAACTTTGGCACAAAGACTCTTTAATAATAATTAAATTGGCTTTTAATAATTAATATTGCCTTAAATGCTAAACATCCTTATGAAGACAAATACTATATGTAACATAGCATTATCACCAAAGAATTGAAGCACTTATAATACTATTATCAAAATAAAGTCTTTCAAATGTTTATGTAATAAGATTTTTATTTATCTAAATATAAAATTATTAGACCAAATTGTAATCATAAATATATCTTTAAATTACTTAATTTTTTGCCTTCTCTTCTTCATTCTAATTATGTTATATATTTATCTAATTAGATATAAGTGTCTATTTTTTAATTATAAGTATTAAAATTATTATTTATAATTATAATATATATATATTTATTTATTTATACTTATATTTATATATATTTAATCTTTATAAAGTTATTTATATATATATATATATAAATAAAAGCCAAGTAGACATCTCTCCTTTTTTTATTATATGGATAGTCTTTTATGCCATATCAACAATATACATTTCATTTTAATTTAAACATTGTTGGATTACTTGATTTTGTTCTATATACATGTGGAATCTAAAAAAAATTAGTTGAAATTTTAATTGTAAAAGTCTTAAAATAGATATCATGTATAAAATCTAATATTGAAAGATTTGGAATTTGACATCAATTTTTCAAGTAATAAATATAAATTGCTTTTAAAGTTGTATATCATTTTTTGTAATATGAAAATGGAGGATAGGTATTAGGAATATGGATGTGAGAGAAGGCAAGGGGGTCATGACAAAGGATGAGGGCTGAGAATAGAGACAATTGTTGGAGATGAGAGATGGAGAGATTGAGAATAGGAATGAGCATTAGAGATGAGAAACAAGGGATCTAATGATGATTTTGATAGGTGGGTTGATTTAATATTTTCAATTATATATAGATATAGATATATTAAATCAAAATTTATATTTAAAATATTTAAAATAAAAGTTTAAATAATAAAATGAACTTTAAAATATAAAACAATAATACAAACCATGATGGGATCAAAGCTACCTCAAAACAACTCAGAAAAGAATGTTGGTTACTATTTGGGATAAGACAATCTAGTGAGCTTTGTCTTACCATCCACAACAGTTGTCTTTGACAATCTCAACCGTTAAGAACAAAAACCTCCCATGCAAGATTTTCTTGCAATTGTCAAAATCCAAAGTTACATAATTGCCAACATTTCCTTAATATACTCAAATTCTGTACAAAATGTAAAATGGTTCAAAATCACACTTATAAGAAGAACCTCCTTCGAAGTAGAGCATCGTTTTCGTAATTGCATATTCCAAATTCCTTGGGATTCAGCATTCATGCCACCGACTCGGAGTTGACCGACCCAGCCTTTTAAAAGTCAAAGCGCCGCCGTGGGCGTCCTCACCGACACCCTCTTCGTCGCGAAGAGTTCCATCGCCACCTTGGGCGGCCTCGTTGCGGCCCAAATTTTGCGCGCCCGAGGGCTGGCGATTTTTGTGTTTCCTAACTGAGTTGTTGGCGATCTTTATCACCTTCCTTGACGAACTCGAGCGAAGACAACGCACATCTCATGGGTCCTTGTCTGTTCTGCGCATTTTTCACGCGGACTGGTCGCCCTTCGCCTTCGTACTGTAGGCATTGATTCGTTCGCATTGACAGATCCCGCAATTGGGTGACAAGCATTTTTCCATGTCGTGGCTGAAAGGTTGCATGAGGTGCCCGTTTGTGTAGGGTTCTTGTCAAAGGGGCGACTCACGAAACTTGCCTCTTCTTTCTGTGGCGACTCTTCGAGAGACCGTCGTCTTTTCGTCTTCTTTTCCATGCTCACCTTGCTCTCCACTAATCTTCAACATGCCTGCGTCGTAGTACTCCGCCTCGGTCCCTCGTCCAGCTTCAGCTTCTTCATTGCACCCTCTGTTTCTTCTCACAGTAGCGAGAGCTTCACCCCCACCTCGAAATTTAGTTGTACGCCTGGGTGCTGTGGAAGGTAGAGCACCAGTCAGGGAGAGGCGGTGTGCTTGCTCCCCCGTCATGGGCACATCCTTTTGATCTCTGTCAGTTTTTTAAGATTGGACTAATTTGATTTTGAAAGTATAAGTCCCGCTCTTGGCAATAGTGCAGACCTGTGGCTTTTATGACGTTGAGCCTCTATGAACTCTTTACAGCTTTTGATACTTGAGTTTTCGATTTTATCTCCTTGTCTATGGTGGATGGGTCGATCCATTTGTAGAAATCATGGAGTAGGGTGCTCGTTTGATAGTTTGTTTTTTTGGCATTTGGCGTTCTAAACTTGTTGAGCTTGTGCCGTTACGTTGGTATTTAGGATATATGCTTAGGGTTAGGATAATCATCAAACTTTGTGAGATTATATTGGATTTCTGTGGAAAGTCTTTCATGAGCATGGCGCACAAGATTGGAATACTTCGGTTTCATTCGAGTGCCGTATCTATGGTGTCTGTGCCTAATCTTTGGAACATTCATAGCGGGCAAGTCCAGAGATGTCCAAGGAAGGAAGTGGCGCTCGTAGTCAGCTCGATGACCTCAAAGCAAAACTTCTGGCGAAAGAGCTGGAAATTATTACACAGAAGGACCAGATGCTGCGTATTCAGGAGAGATCGCATCAGATTGAGCTTCACATTAGTAAACTTTCCGATAAATCGAGAGAAAAAATTGCGAGCTTAGAAGACATTATCAGCTTGATCAACGGGTAACCAGGATAGGCTCCCTTTTAGATGCAGTAACTCACTTAACTCTTACATTCTAAGCAAAAACTTCTCAATTCACTTCTAGTATGCCAAGATCTCGGGTGCACCCTTATAATTTTAATTGTACCATTTGAACGGCAGCTCTCGAACAGAGTGGTACAAAGATTAACTTAGAGAATTACGCATGTAGTTGCTGAGATATTTTTCTCTTGATGAGCAGTGAAGCTAAAGTTAAGGATAAGAAAACTTTAGATCTGGAGGCAGAAATGGTAAAACTGAAAGAAGATTCGGACACTACCATCAAGGAAATGGCGAAGCATTTGGAAGACACCACAACCGCTATGGAGTTCAAGTATGAAAGCACTAAGTTGGAGCTTGAAACAGCCCAAATTAGGTTGAGGGAGCTACACGAATTCAGCCAAAAGAAGGCAATTCTTGAAAAAGAACTCCAAGAGTAAGAACTGATTATCCTTCTCCATCTCGACTTGGTTTCTGTTCACATAGAGGTTAGTAATGCTTTCTTCCTCACCTTGGGATGCTAGAGACTTCAAAATCTTTCACTTCCATTTTCTTTTGAGTTGTGGTTCACATTTGGAGTGTGAATTAGCACGCGATATGCACTGTTAAAAGAGCGTGAGAAATGTATCGAGCAAGTGGGAGAGGCTGAGAGAGCTTCGTATGCAGCGCAAGAGAAGATGCGTAGGGCAATGGAAACCATAGTTGCAGAAACTGAAGCGAGGATGACCGCAAACATGGAAATGCGGCTTAACTTTGTAATTTACAGTCTTAATCCCTAGAGTCGTTCTTGCACTTGAGGGGTGCCGACGTGTGTTTCTCCTTGTAGATTAGGTGCACAATTTTATGTTCGCTGTATCTCTTATCATCAGGCATGTTCTCTTCAAAATGAGGATATTGCTTAATAACTTCGGACGCTGGACAATGACTATGCTTCGTCTGATTGCCATTATGGTGGACAAAGTGGAGGCTTATCAGTTTATCTGTATGAAGTCAAGATTTAGACTTGCAATTCGAGTTCAGTTTAAATGACTAGGATATGATTGTGGCCATCTTTGCCGTGTTTATTTATCCACATGACAGAAAACCAAGAAGATTATCATTGAAAATGAAGGATTGAAGGCCGAGGTACAATACCACACTCGAGCAACAATGAAACTTTACAAGGAGAACCAGCGGCTGATTGAGGAAAACCATGAACGAACCCGCGATATCGATCTCTTACAAGAGGTATCAATCTAAGCTAGTTATGCTCTGACTATCGAGAGTCACAGTTCCACTGCAGGGCAGGGTTTGTATCGGATTGATTGTGTACTTACTTTTGTAGTTCTGTGAATATGATATTCCTCTTGAGCCCACTTATCCCTGTGTCTCTTTGCTTTCACTCTGAAACAGAAATTTGAAGAGCTGAAGCTCATATTCTTATCTTTTTCCACCACAGATCCAGGCGGAATTGGAACTTAAGATCCATGCGTACCAGAAAACATTACGGATCCTTTTGCACAAGCTTCGAGGTGTGTATTCCTCCTGTGCTGATGTTTGTCAACGTTGCAGCTTAGATTATGTCTACATGCTTATTACTCAAAAAGCCTTTTCTAATTGTCATCGAGAACAGAAAACGAGAAGCAGATGACGAGTACACAGGCAAAGGTGTTGCCAAATATGACCAAGGAGCAACGAGGGTACGAGGAGGACTTTCAAGAGCTGCTCCTACGCGCTGAACGTCTCAAAGATGTGAAGATCAGTAACGTTGGTTCAAAACTTGTCCATTCTCGAAAGGTATCTTCGATGTCAACTTCAATTTCAACCTTTAGGATGAAAATTTCGTCGGACTTCCTCGTTATATGATCCCAAGGTTCCTAGAACTGACAAAACTTTGGAATTGGTTTCTGTCTAAAGGCAGTTCGTCCACACAGTACAAAATCCCAGGAACTTACCCAAGATAGTGCAATCGAGTTTCTGTATGCTTGTCTGGAAGATATGGAGTTGGAGACATTCACAAAACTGGCAACAGAAAGGTAAGCTCGCTCTCTGTTTCTTAGGGGCACGCAGTGATTCATAATGTACATACTCTTTACATGTGCAGAAAACGCCACGCAGTTGGCAAACAGTTCGTCTAAATTGCTGCAACATGCACAAACAAAAACATTGATTAGCATTTGTCTCACATCAAACCTGTGTTGTTTGTATCATGTTTTATCTCGTGCAGTGCCTCGTCAAGTGAAGCTGTTCCATCTACACTGCCGCTTGATCAACTCAACATGAAACAACGCCTTAAACTTCTCCAGTGTGTTTTTCAACTCTGAATTTCTTGCTTCATGGGAAATTTTTCGTTGGGCAGTTTATATGAATAGATTTATCTGATCCCCAGTGATTATTGACAACCTCAACTACAGTTGAAAGGAATCATATTGTATAACTCTTCTCAACAATCTGGTGCAACAGGAGTTTGTTAAAGAAGGCCAGCACAGTCCGGCTGATGACGCAGAGCCTTGCAAATGCAGCATCCGACAAGGGTTCAACACAGCGTCTACCATATTCGCCAGCCATCAATAATTCCGGTTTAGATACCTGAGTCTATTTTTCTTCACAAGTTTCATGATTTTTCAATTTGTAATTAACAGGTCTCTATGTATGTGCGTAAAAATCCTTATATCACTGCCTTGATCTCATGCATTGTCGTTGTGTTCACTGTAGCACGTTTTGTGCAAATATTGATGTGTTTTCTTATCAGGTGAAAACATAGTGTTTGACGTGCAAGATCTATTAGAGATGCCTGTTCAACAGATCATATTGGGCGATAGAGGGAAGTGATCTTTTGTAAAGGGAAAGAATCAACATCTTGAAGTAATTTGTGCAAAGGTTTGAAAGGCGCTGCTTTCACTTGTCTATCTAAAGCTTTTTTTAGGCTTGAGGCATTGTGCGATGACTTACATCAGTTCTTAACTTATAACTTCTGCTAATTCAAATTAACCCCTCCCCCACTCTGTCAGCGATTAACGTGAAAAGAATTCGGCCTTTCACCGTTATAGAGATCACCCTCACGTGTACTTACTTCCCTATGACAGGCCCACCGTGGCCATCATCTCTTCTTTACCCTTTTTTCATTTCAGAACTATTTCTTGCGCGAAGTAGAAAATATGTTTAAGTTTTTGAAACATTCAGTAAGTGTTCATAAGTTCAGAGCTGCTTTTAGTCGTAAAAACTTTTCAGCACACTGCAGTTTCTTCAACCTCTCAAATGTGCTTTGCACTAGTTGTTGACTGATCTAAGTAGGAAAAGGGGGAGTTTGCCCCGTGTGAGTTAAAAAAGTGGCTGCTGTGACTGTCAAAATATGCAACCTGTTCGTTCCATCTGCTGCGTCACGCGTTGGTTGTGGGGGAGAAGGGATGCAGAAGTCTCATTCAACCCATCGACAGTGGTGAATTTGTTGCCGAGATTTGACCTGGTTTATGGTGATGCAGTGCTAGTGTTGACCCAAAAAAATATAAAATAAAATAAAGAATGATGAGGAATACTTCAATGTTGGGTACAGGAAAAGGACGATTCTTCTCGTATGTTTTCATGTGGGTCTGATTAGGTTATAAGACTGGGTTCCGCTATTTCTGCTTGCTCTTCCATTTACGTCAATATATGCATCATTTGACAAGGATGACCATTTGCCAACCCTAAATTTCCATTGAAGAAATGAAGCTTTAATAATACTAGCCAGCTGATAGCTTGACTGTTGGCTAGGTACAAGGCGACAATGTAAAAATAATATAGTATAATATATAGGTGTAATATTTTGACCAATAAAACATTATACAATTAGTCTTAATAAAATGATACCTTCTTTCTCTTAATTGTTCTTATCTGCATGACTATCTGTTGTTTGTGTATCAAGAAGATTTATCGTATTTTTACAAGTTTATTACGCATACATGTAACTTTTTAAGTTGAATAGCTCTTATTCAAAAGTTTATTGCCATAATCACATGACACAACTGATGTTGATGAGAATTTTTTTGACAAACAATTGCCAATTTATTTTTATTTTATTCAGCTGTTTTTAAATTTGTTAAAAACTTTGTGGTTAAGACTCATTTTAATAAATTGGCCTGCAATAGTTTTTCTGAATGATAAAAGCATATTGAACGGCATTGATTAATTTTGCAAATATGTTGGTAATCAACATCAAATCACCAATCAATATATATTGTATCAACTTTGAAAATCATACTGCGGTTTATAAAATATCCATCAAAAACATACGTATTATTAAATCATAGTGTTCCTTAACAGGAATTTAAAATGTAGGTACAGTATTTATTTTAAGTTTTTGATGATTGAACTCACAGCAAACAAATAGTATTACTTCATTATAAAATAAGAAATCCGATCATTTTTATTTTCAAGTATTGAAACAATCATTTTTTTACAAGATCTAATCATATTATGTGAGAGTAATCTTTTCAAATAAAATTAGCTTTCAAATAATAAATCTTCATTTCACTCAAAACTGCTACATTTCAGGAAACCGCAAACTTTCAATTGAGAAAGAAAAATCCAAAGATCCAATGCCTATTACACAACATCGAATATTCACCAAAATTGAGTACACAGCAAAAATGTCGGCCACACACAAAGCTTCCAAACCTTCGATAAGAACATGAGAAGTTTGGCAGACTTAACCAACAAAATGAAATAAAATAAAAATAAAAAAAAGGTCTGTACTCTCAACAAAATCTAGCAACAGTCCCCGAATAAAATGGGCTCGTAATTGTCAGCTTCTTCAGGAAGAAAAAGCACCCACAAACCGAACAAAGGGTGCGAAAAAGGAGACCCACATGGAAAAATGTGATGCTGATTCGCATTCCCTTTCCACGGCTTGACCTTGCTTTTTCAACCTTCTGGTCCAACTTCCGCAACTTTTTGGTTGTGTTACTCCTGCCCACCACTCTGCTGTCGTGTATTATTTGATCACTGTCACGCCTCACAACTTCACCGTGCTTCAATGATCACTTAAAACCACCATTTCGGACCACGGCACGCTTGCATTCAAAGCTTGTACACACTACAGCTGCTGCTGGATCAGTATGCTGGACCTGGGTTTTTGTGAGTACCATTTTCCCCTTAGACTGCAGGTCAGAGCACCAACAAGTTTGTGTGCCCAATTATAGCGTCATTGCAGTGGGTTCGGCTCACGGACGTTACTTGGTGGTATTTAGCGGTTTTTTCTGGGCGTTAATGTTCAGTGGAGCATTTACTTCGGACTTGGTGTTGATTAGTTTAGCGACTGGGTGCAAAAGTTTGGGTAGTTTGCAATTGGGTGTTGAGTTTTTGTGCTGGAACGCAGGAAAGGAGTTTTGAGTGGGAAAAGAGTGGAGCGAGAGCTGTAGCTACTAACGTGGGTCGGTGATCAGAGAGCGTAATTCAGGTATCACCCGTAATGTACCTGATGGAGGGTTGTAGCGGTGATCTTTCCGACTGTGATTGTTGGTTACTGCTTGTCAGTTTGTTGGTAGTCCTCTGCATGGGTATCGTTGTCATTCCCTTCGTATGAGTCTGACCTGTCTCTAAATGCATTTCAATGAACCTGTGATGTGGGTGGTGAAATGGGTCTGGTGTCCAAGTTCAAATGAGTTCAGGTTGTCGTAGACTGTGTGCTTGTAGGGGGGAGAGCACAGCAAGTTGGTCTCATTAGGGTTCCTCTTCCCAAACAGTGAGGAATAATGAGCTTTGATTGAGTGAATCAGTCCAAATTGTGCGCCTACTTCATTCATTCCAACGCACCAGTCCTTCCCATGAGTCTTTCACCATAATTCCACCATTTTGACGTTCGACTCAGCCATTATGGTCATCAACCCTGGCACTATCTGTGTTCTGATTTGCTTTATTGACTTCAACCACTGAGGTTTTCTGGACCCGGTGGCTTGAATCCTCTTCATAGACGTCCCCTGCATTTCTTTTCAGCATATCCTGCATCTCGCGCAACAATTTTGTTCCCCTTCTGCCGTCCAGCTTCAAGCCTTTGCTTAAATCACTTTGATTGGCAGTGAGAAAGAGGCTGAGAAAGGGGAGCCTCCAGAGTTTAGGTGGAACACAACCATGGTGGTTGCGAATTTGGACCAGGCTGTAACCCAGCCCCAACTTCCTGCGGAGACTGAGGTGCTTCAATTTCTTATCTCTTCCTTTGGACTGAAGTATGTTTCTCCAAAACTCAATCTGGATACAAAATCATCACTGACGAACCTTTGAGTCTTCTTCTTGATAATGCACAAACAACGAGCTAAAATTGCCCCATTTATTACATTTTGCGTCGCAGTTCTTAGTCCTGAATGTTCAGTTGTTGAGGAGGGAACTTCCACTATTAGAGACTGTTTTCAACCCCTGTAGTAATTGAACAATTCACTAGAAAGGTATTGAAATGAAGTTGTGTTGAGGCAATGTGTCTCTTGAATCATTTCGCTCAGCACGCACCGTGGTTGTTCGATTTGCAGCTCATCATCGAAAAAAAGGGAGTTGGGAGGTTTGCAACAATGAACCGCCCACGAGTTCTGAACTGTATCAACCTGCCCATGGTACTTATGCTCCTCTGTTCAATTCAATGTTATCAACATCAATTTTTCTTTGGTTAGCGGCAGAATGTGATCGCAGAAGTTGGAATGCAAATTCTCCTGATCACTTCGTGTTCCTTACGACTTTTGGGACAGTTGGAAGAAATTGCAGAAGCATACGAGCAGTGGGAAGAAGATGACAGCGTAGGATTTATTGTGCTGAAGGTATGTTATTTACAGACTGAGATTAAGACACCGTTTAGATCACTTCAAGTATTTGAACCTAGGATGGTCTAAAGGTATATATGCAGTTTGCTTGCAGGTCGGTTCTGTTTTGATTTGAGTCTGAGTGATCCTTTCCTTTGTTGTACGATTTTAAAAACAATTAATATAAAACCTACAAAATAAAACTGAGCCAGAAAGGTGGCTTCATTTGATTTCAGGGGGCAGGCCGAGTATTCTGCGCAGGCGGTGACCTCAAAACATTCTATGGGCTGGGAAAGTCAGGTGAGCACGCTCCATCTTCACATTCTGGATCCAACTTGTCACCAGTAGAGCCAATTGTTTTAGCTACTCCAAGAATTCATAAAAGCATGCAAAATTGAAACCTGACTTTCTTGGATGGATCCGGGATTGCATTGCTGCAGATGAATCTTGGACAGCGATGGTATATATCAAGTATTGGCTAGACTATCACATCGCTACATTCAAGAAGCCCCTTGTGAGGCCACTTAACTTTATGAACCGTAGATCTCTTGGAAGAGTTGCACAGGGAGTGTCCACTGAAGTTGACTATTTATCTGATTTTGAGCAGTGACATCCTATTCTTAAAATCTTCCTGCGTCTCGGTGATGATGCCTACAATTGGAAATGCTCAAACCCACTTTAAACCAGATGGCTTCTGTCAAAACAGGTGGCTATCTGGCACGGCCTCGTAATGGGAGGAGGAGCAGGGCTGTCCGTCACAGGAACCTTCAGAGTTGCCACCGAGAAAACTGTGAGTACTCAACAATATGCTAAAACTATCTTGCGAACAGAAAAGTAGACATAAATGTATAATTTAACTCTGAAAAAGTATCGTCTATTCTATCTATTATAAGTTCTCAGCCTTGACCGAAGCGACGGAATGAGTGCAGATCTTTGCAATGCCGGAAGCAGGAATAGGACTTCACACAGATTGTGGCGCTTCGTACTGGCTTTCACGTCTGAGCGGCTTCCTTGGTACAAATCTCTCCACTATGTATCTTTGATCTCTAATGAAAACGCTATAGCGGTGAAAACGCAATTATTGTCTGTTCTAGGATTTCTTGCCTTAAAAACTACTCTGGTGTTGGCGAACAGGAGATTACTTGGGGTTGACAGGACACAGACTGGATGGAGCGGAAATGTATGCTTGCGGCCTTGCAACCCACTTTGTTCCTCTCCAGGTATTGAATACAAGCATACATTGTCTGAATATTTACCGTTCAACGTCACAACCTTGGGGCCTAAGTTTGTTCGTTCTAGTTTTGCTGTCGATTGTTCTTCTTTTCCAAAACATGATTAGAGTAACAAAAGAGAAACTCGACACAAGCAAAGAAAACCCACGTTTCTAATTGTTTGTCCGCTAAAATCGGAGCCTGGTCAGTATCATGAGAAGGTCCAATGACATCGATACATCCGTTGACGAATAAGTGCGAGATTCGCTGCAATTGCTGTATTTCCATGGCTAGTTTTAAAAAATAAAAAAATAAAAAAATAGTAATAGAAAAAGACGGCTGACTGAGTCGGTAACGTTTTTATGAGTTGGTGTATTGCAGAGTCTTTCAGAGCTTGAAAAGCGTCTGTCGGAGTTGTCGATTGGTGATGATGCTTCCGTCGGAGAAGTCATCGAGTCCTTCCACAATCCAGCCCCCATTTCACCAACAAGTATTCTGCACAAGTAAGCATATTCACAAATTTCATGCTAGTAAATGTGGTATCACTTCCCACAGAATCTGGGTTTGATTTGTGGCCACTTTATGTTGAAACTAAAGATCATGTCCAATACTGAACGAAGTTATGTTAGGTGTTTCATGTTATATTCCAATAAGCTGCTTTCTCATGTGCAGGCAAGCAGCGATAAACCGACTATTTTCAAAGGGCACTGTTGAGGAGATAGTTGAAGCTCTGGTACTTTTCAGACACTACTTCCGTCATACTAATGTTTGTGCCTGTTGGTTATGATGAGATACACAGCTTGTGACCAGATTTTCATTACTTGAACTGAAAATGTGTTGCAGGAGGCCGAGCTTGAAGAGACGCAAGAGACTTGGGTCAAGGAAACCCTCAAGACCTTGCGGAGGTCATCTCCGATGGGCTTAGCAGTAACATTCAAATCGGTGTGTAATCCAATATTCCATTAGAAAGTCGAACAAAATTGATCCGCTGCTGCACGCTAACTCGTCGATGTTTTTCTCTAACATAGGAAGTAGTGATGCATTCGTAGTCAAAATCATTGCCTAAATTTCGATCAATCGTTAACTCAAGTAAGAGCATAGAAGCCCTGCACACGACATTTCACATTTTGTTTTAAATTCGATGCTATCTGTTGGGTACCTGATGCAGATCCGGACCGGTAGAAACGAGTCTCAGGCGGACACTCTAAAGCGGGAGTACCGGCTAACAATAAATGCCTTGAAAGGCACCGCGACGGACGATTTCTACGAGGTGAGCAACTTCATGGAGTCTACTTAAACAAGCAAAGTGATCTTAGATTCTCGTGCCTTGCTGCCGGCTCTCTAACGCCTGGATCGATGCTAATTGCTCAAACCCTGATCTTGCATTCAATTTTTATGCAAATTCTCAAGTTCATCGTTGGTGGATATGGACATGCAGGGTATAAGATCTATCGTGGTGGACAAGGACAATGCTCCGAAGGTCAGTGTAATTTCCTCGCTCACATTTTCCTGCTTAGTGCTTTGGTTTGAGTTCTCCTTCCCGTCTCCAGCATTATGATTGAAATTGGCCGTGTGAGTACTTTCGGTGAGCACATCCTTTCACCTGATGAGCCTGATCAACTTCCTGTTGTAACCACAGTGGAATCCAAAAAGTATTCAAGAAGTGACACAAGAACAACTCGAATCAGTTTTCATGCCATTCAAAGATGCATCGAAAGAATTACAACTCCCATCTGAGCATGAGCCCAGGTTTGAAACTGGATTCACTCGTGACTTAAAACTTTACCCGTACGAAATATTCATAGTAGGCATGCACGCATAGTACGTTATCGGACATCCGTATGTTCGAACCAGCTGCTTTCACATGCTTCTCATCGTTAGTCAAAGATTGAGCAAACTTTGCACTCACATCAACGCTCTGCACAACTCTGCAGATGGAGTAAAAAATTTGTGAAGGTCTGACTGCATTCGCCTCAACAGCGAACATATTAATTGGCTTGAGTCCACACCAAGTCCCAAATCATCAACTGGGTGAACCTACTCGAATTTATACTTGCTCATAGTCCAGCCTCATTCATACATTATGAGCGGAATACAGCTAGAGTTAAATGACTCGGTGAGTAACAAACACGAGCTCTCAGAATGTCCGTGCCTGGCGAGCTTCCTTGCATGTCCTTCTAGGTGAGTGGCCTTCGGATCACAGAAGAGACAAGCCCTTGAATCCCCTTTTGTATATACTGCAACCAGGAGATACACATTGCAGACTGATGTCATGAGACCATCAGTTTTTTTTAAGAAAAAAAAAAAAAAAAAAAAAAAAGTTCTTTCGCTCCATCTATCCAGTTTCCAATTTCTCAAAGTGTGGCGGCTTACGAAGCACGTCACCATGACCGAGAGGCAAGGCGAGATGAGACTGGGCGTAGGTGACCTAAATGGATCAGTTTTAGGGCATGGAACCCACGCTTTGTGGAAGGGGGACCAACGAATGACCGTAATTTGATGAACGTCGTCCGTGTATTTCATTCAGTGGAATCTGCATTCAAAAACTCTCTTCCGCCCCTCCCTCCCCCAGCAAAAACTGAAAAACTTGCATTCATTCTTCTGTATCAAATAAATATCAAATAAATAAAAATAACCCATTTTCACGGATCAGTTTTATTCTTTGATTACCATTCTGGGTTGAGTTATATCCCTAGAATTATAATATCTGAAGAGACGAAAAAATTGCATGTCCACAAATAAACTAATTGAAAATCTAGTAGCAAGTTAACGGTCATGGACAATTATATTGATTCACAAATATTTTAATGTTTACATCTTGAATGAGTGGCAATACCAAATACCACAAAAAAATCATAAAATTGGTGCACTTAAACCTTGCACAGTTTATGTCTTTGCTTTTGTAAAAAAATATGTTTTAATAAAAATAAGAATAAAAATAGTTCTTGAACCTGTACTAAATGATGGGTGATAAAATAATAAATTTTAAGAGCTTTCACCTTTCTTGATTTAATCATTAATTTTTTTACTATAGAAAATACTGTAATTTTATCATACACTACTTGTTTGCAACCATTTATAAATTTCTCCTAATTTCTGTTTGAAGTTGAATATTGAGACTCTTTCAAATTACTTACAAAACTCATATGTTGTAAAAGTTTATTTTTACCCAACGTGCTATTAAAATTTAATTTCGTATGTTCTTGAATGCTTAAGTTTATTCAGTTTCCAGATATATATTTTAAATATTCTGATACCATAATCTTACTTACAACATGTTTAAGTACAAAATTCACGCAAAACTTTTATCAATGCTTTAGAGTTGAGAGTGTGAATGATTGTACACATAGTCCACCTTTATCCAACTTAGTTGAGATTATGAACGAACTCATTCATCCAAATGTTCTAACTGTTTTTGGTATTCTACACTCAATATCATACAAGTTCCATGTACTCGAATTGATGTATTTTATTAATAAAAATATGTATGTATATATGTATATGTATATATTCTTATACATTGTGTAAATTTAGTTATTGATTTTCTAAACTATATGTACAGAGAGAGACACATATATTGTAGTGATGGAAATTTAAAGGATAAATTTGCCCATATCCAACATCCAACATCCACTCAAACAACAAATAAAAATCAGAATCAATTCATTTAACTCATTTTAAGAATAGTATGACGCAGGATTCCTTGGCCTCATGCTGCAATTCATTTGCCATCAATACGGTGATAGCTCAGGATACTTCTTCGTGGTCCTTTCTCAGCACATCCGCCACAAGCTATTGCCCGCCTTTTCTTCTGTGGTGCAATGGAACGGTTGTTGAATGAATGAATACCACGAATGAATGAAAAGAACGAGACTAAAGTTGGCAGTGTGAACGGTACCCATCCCCAACATTAGTGAGCGGTCCAGCATGGGGAACAGTGATGGGGATTCATGACGTGAAATCCACGTGGCAAATACGAACTGCCTGCGTGGCAGATGCAATGAAAAGGACGAGCAGAGGAATGCTCCCGAGATGTGATGGGGCACACCACTTCTGGCTTCCCAGTAGTCAAACTAACGAACAGAAGACGGGTTGAACGAACATATTATCTCAGGATGAATGACGCTTTCCGTTTTTCCAGATTTTAGTTGCTGTGCAAATGGACAAAAAGGCCCGCCCAGGCTGACAAAAAGAGGGTTCGCGGGGCCGAGGGTGCTAAATCCCAGTCCCCCCTCCCTGCCCCCTCCTTCAAATTTCAAGAGGTTTCCCTCCCAAACCCGCTCTGCTACAAAACGAGAAGCCACGACTCTAGAATTAGGAAAGGAAGCTTTTAAGGAAAAAAACAAATAACACCAACACTGACATCGAATGACATTGATTGCGCCCTTGGCCGGGCCTGGGCCACATGGCCCCTCCCCGCCAAACCCTGTCGTTCAACCCTTGCTCACTAAAAGTAGTACCGTCCCATTTGCTTTAGTAAGATTATATATTCCAAATAATTTATTATATGGATTCTTAGACCTATCTGAAACGGGGTTCCCTTTTTGATTATGTTTTATTTATTTATTATTTTTATTTGTATGTGTTGTGTATGAGAAAGAGATAGAGAATGCGTGTGCATGTGTAATGTTAGTGTGATACATTGAAGATCAAGCTTCACATTGTTTACCCAGTCAATGATGTAATACTTGTATCACTTGTAGAGCGATGTATTACTTGTATCCTAATTGCAAATGTTTGCGGAATGGGGACCACCATGGGTCCGATGAAAACAACGATAAAGAGAAATATTCGACGACGAGACCAACCCTAAAGGAGGGATTCCCTACCCTGCCGTGCTGTGCCGCCGTGCCGGTGCTGAATGGGATGCCGCCAGGTGGAGTTTGAAATTCGTGCTCAGACACGCCCGAAATTGAGCGCCATGTTCCAGTGAGCGTGAGTGTGTGTTCGGGAAACCGGATCCGTCCGTCCGTCCGTCCGTCCGTCCGTGGTGGCGCGGGGATGAGGGCCAATTGATGAAGAAGGGGGGATGCTCCTCGTTGCTTCCTGGACTGGGCTGGGCTGGCTGTGCTTGGCTGTCTGCGCGGGGAGAAGTTGATCCCTTCTGCTACACTTGCCGCCACGGCCCTCACTCCCGCCATACCGTCCGTCGACTAAACGAGTTGGGATGCCTCGTGCTCGACCAACCAAATACCCTTCTACTCTCCTCCCTCCCTCGCTTACTCACCCCGCTGCTCTTCCCTGCTCATGCTCTTGCTCTCCCTCCCTCCATTCCGTGTTTTTTCTACTTGACGTAGACCAAGGGGTGCTTCGCCTTGCATGCCTTCGTGTGGTTGAGTTGGTGCTCTTCACGTAAGGGTGTGGTTGTTGCTGTTGGTGGAGGTTGTGCGTTTTTTTTTTTTTTTTTTTTTTTTTCCTTGTATCACGTGGCGGTTTTTTTGGAAAGTTGAGCGCGGGAATTGTTACTGCACGGTGAAGGAGGTGGAAGGCTGTGAGTGTGTGTGTGTGTGAGAGAGAGAGAGAGAGAGAGAGAGAGAGTTTGAAGTGGAGGTCGGGAAAATTAACGTCAACTTTTTTTTTTTTTTTTTTTTCTTTCTTGAACTTGATCAATTTCGAGGGACTGTTAGTATATCTGATATAGGGAGTGGTACTA